CACTCAGATCCCTTCATGGTTCCACCAGGAAACATCCGGCCTCTGATGGTTCCTCATCATGAGGCGACTGTTTACAAAACGCAGACGTTCAGAGGTCGATAAATGAGATTAGAAAAGATGAAGCTGCGTCTGAGGAGATTTACACTGAAAAAACTAAAATTTTGGTCAGATTTATTCACTAAAAACAACATAAATGAGGATTATTATTTAGTGGCAAATTTTGTTCTTCTTGAATGTATTTGTCATAAGATTATTTTACTAGTTTTAAAATACTTTAAACAGTGAGTTTTTAAGATGGTTTTAAGAATAATTTTGTTCTTGTTTCAAAACATTTCTCTATTTGTATTTTATTTGTGCCTTTCATGAAAACATTTGGTTCACATAATTATACAGTTACATCCATTACATGAAGGAGTGTTCAAGATATAAGTTAATAATACTTGAAATGTATGATTTTAAACTAGAATCAAGTCGTTTGGGGCTAGTAATTTTCCATTATTTTCAGAATGTTCACCTTTTTGGTAGATAATCTTTTAAGTCACTAAATCTTCTTGCTTGGAATCTTGGATCTGAAATATACCTCTTTGGGGCATCGCACTTTTACCATCAAACTGGATCTCAACCATTTGGTAAAAATACTAATTTTGAATATCTTAGAAAATCCCAAAAAACAGTGCATAGCTTTCTTGAAGGAGATAATGTTAAACGTTTAAGTCTTATTTTATTTCTTCTATTGTTAGATTATTTTTATTATTTTAAATTACTTTTACAGCCGCTACATCTTGTTATTGTTTTCATTTTGATGTCCCGCCCTCCACCGTTTCACCAATCAGAAAGTCTGTGATCCGGGCGCCAGAACTCACCGCGTGGAGCTAATCTCACTGGTAAAGTACCATGTGGCGCAGAACTAAAAAAGGTCTCGTTATGATTCTCAAATCATTAACGACAAAACAAGGAATAAAACCAGGATTTCTATCTTTGTGAAAAAGGTGTTGGTTATAGATTTGTTGTTGACAAAACTCTTGTCTATTCAGCTGTTATGGTCCCAGCTGGATTCGTCTGCATATCTGGCAACCTGAGTCAGGGAGAGTGGGAGAGGCTGCAGTACCACTTTTGGCCACATGTTTACAGACTGCTCCTTTAAAATGTGAAATTATTAGAAAATCCAAAAAATAGTGCATTCTTCTTTTATTTTCAGATTTTTTTATTTATTATTTTAAGCAGTATTTTACTTATTTTCATATATATTTAGTTATAATTTTGAGGTATTTTTTTTCCAGTGTAGGGTCTGTGTGGGCCACTGTAGCTGGGGGAATGGGGCAGTGTCAGTGGGGGACAGAAACCCGAGCCCCTGTTGACATTAGCTGTGTCTTTCGGCGGTGCCTCTGTATATTTTAAAACCTGGGCCTAATTCGTTCCATACTGCGGTAATGACGCCGCTGATGTCACTCGTCACATGGAGAGCAGAGCGACGGGTTTGTGTGAGAGTAAACAGTTTGCTTCACTGACAGCGCACGGTTCACTGTTTAAACAAGTCCCCGACAGTAGCAGGACCAGGCCCGGCCCCGCAGGGTGGTCCCCGTCAACCACCACAACCCTCACTTTCACTCCATAATATCTACGTTCATTTCAATAAACTACATAATATCATTCTGTGTTCATTAAAATGAGTAAGACCTATTCTTGGGTTTCATATGACGTCAGGGCAGTGGCGCAAATAACAAACGTAGGACAGGACGTGACGTGTCCTGGCGCTGCAGTCTGCCGGGTTTATACACGGAGATATAGTAGAAGAAGAAGTGGTTTATACACGGAGATATAGTAGAAGAAGAAGTGGTTTATACACGGAGATATAGTAGAAGAAGCGCTGTCAAAATGCCATCTTTTTGTGCGGTGTACGTTTGTAGCAACCGCACAAATAGAGAGAAAGACCAGAGTTTGTTCATGTTCCAACTGTGGTCTCATATAAAGGAGGACACTTTGAAAACATCACTGGAATGAGGCGGGCGAGGTGGATCAAGGCTTTCCCAGATAAGCGCCCCCTGCAGGCCACCCCAATGAAACGCAGCAATCTCTTCTGTTTGTTTTATTTCCAAAAATGCCCGAAATCAACTCTTTTGAGAAATATTTGTTAGTACTTCCTTAGAATTGAGTGTCCCTGATTAAGACTGTTCCAACAACCGTACACCGCACAGGAGGAGAGCCTTTGACTCCAAAACAGACTTTACATGGTTTTTAATGGGAGCAAAACTGTCCCACCTCTGCTCATGCGCCCCCTACAGGCCAGGTTCATGAAACACAAGAATTGTACATGTTTTTAGTTTTAGGGAAAACCAGAGTACCCAGAGGAAACCTATGCAGACACGGGGAGAACATGCAAACTCCACTCAGAAAAGCCATGTTCCGACCATGATTCAAACCCAGGTCCTTCTTGCTGAGAAGCTATAGTGCTAACCACTCAGCCACCATGCCGCCCTGTGAACGCGATAATATTGTTCTATGTTCATTTCAATGTAGAGGTTTCTCACTTTTTCCTCCAGTTTAATCCTCAAGGCGTCTCGTTAAGTCAGGGGTGTCCAAACCTTTCAGTAGGAGGGCCACATTAGTTCACCAGACCAGTCAAGGAGCCGACATCACGGACTGAAAAACTGTCCTGACTGGCATTGGGCAGTTCGGCGCTATAAAATGATCTATAACAGAGCTGAAGTTGGCTGAATGACACATGTTTACCATCTCACCAGCTCCATTAGCATCAATATTTGTGACACAATCAAAAACTAGGGCCCTTGAATGATGACTTGACATGAAAATCTTACATACTGCTACTTTACCCACATGGGTGTTTTTGGCGTGGTAATTCACATTGCTGCCAGTAGATGGCGGTGCTCACAACCATTAGAGCAGGGGTCTCCAAGCTTTTCCCCTGGAGAGCTACTGCTTCTGGGCAAAATGGCCAGAAAGCTACTACTTTATGGTTTAAGCGGTTGAAAGGGCAAGAGACAGTACAATTATGCCTACTTAGTAAAACCATCTATGATCCATTTATTATCAATTTTAAAGAAAAAAACATCCACAAAAAACTTTGCAGAAGTGTTTTTGAGAGTGTCTGGCTTTGAACTGGGGGAAGAGCAGAATAAACATCCTTAAATAGACGCTGTAAACGTGTGTATACAGTACAATCTATAATTACTACACTGTTTACGCTTCTTTGTTTGCTCCATCTATATCTGACCTGCAGAGAAGCCACCGCCTCATGTGTCCTCCTCGTACACTCTGACAGCAGCTTCACCCAGCTCTCCCTGCTCCGCGACTGAAGCAGCAATATGTCCGATTTTTATGTCTAGTCATCATTAAAGGGCCCTAATCTGTCCTCATTAAAGGGCCCAAATCTGTCCTCATTAAAGGGCCCTAATCTGTCATCATTAAAGGGCACTAATCTGCCATTATTAAAGGGCCCTAATCTGTCGTTATTAAAGGGCACTAATCTGTCGTTATTAAAGGGCCCTAATCTGTCATAATTAAAGGGCCCTAATCCGTCATCATTAAAGGGCCCTAATCTGTCATAATTAAAGGGAACTAATGTGCCATTATTAAAGGGCCCTAATCTGTCGTTATTAAAGGGCCCTAATCTGTCATAATTAAAGGGCCCTAATCCGTCATCATTAAAGGGCCCTAATCTGTCATAATTAAAGGGAACTAATGTGCCATTATTAAAGGGCCCTAATCCGTCATCATTAAAGAGCCCCAATCTGCCATTGTTAAAGGGCCCTAATCTGTCATCATTAAAGGGTCCTAATCTGTCATCATTAAAGGGCCCTAATCTGTCATCATTAAAGGGCCCTAATCTGTCATCATTAAAGGGCCCTAATCTGTCGTTATTAAAGGGCCCTAATCTGTCATGATTAAAGGGCCCTAATCTGCCATTATTAAAGGGCCCTAATCTGTCATCATTAAAGGGCCCTAATCCGTCATCATTAAAGGGCCCTAATCTGTTATCATTTAAGGGCTCTAATCTGTCATCATTTAAGGGCCCACGCTGTCATCATTAAAGGGCCCTAATCCGTCATTAATAAAGAGCCCTAATCTGTTATCATTTAAGGGCCCTAATCTGTCATTATTAAAGGGCCAAAATCTGTCATCATAAAAGGGCCCTAATCTGTCATAATTAAAGGGCCCTAATCTGTCATCATTAAAAGGTCCTAATCTGTCATAACAATAATCTGATCTTTTCCAATACCTCATTAATCAGTGAGGGGGGGCAACACAGAATATACCTCCATGAATCTCTATATTCACCACTAAAGCCTTGAAGTACCTAATGTAATCATTCATTCGCTGGCTATCTTGGCTGCTTTCTTTATCATAAAGTGGCTTTTGCTGGGAGACCAAATGAATGAGCCGCTCCGATGCCATGTTTACCTACGGCGGCTCGCTATGGACAAACAACCCTCAAAAGGCGCATGACCGGCATATGACGGAACGAAGATTCGTAAAAAAACGAAGCTGTTCCGAAAAATTGAATGTTGGACAAATATTTCGGCGTTGGTGTGCAAGCGTAATTGACATAGCGTGGGTTCGTTTTTTTTTTGTGTGTGACAATTTTGCACGAAAAAAACGGACAAAAAACGGACTCCTTAAGTCTTTGATGTCCCGCCCTCCACTGTTTCACCAATCAGAAAGTCCATGATCCGGGTTAATGATGACAGATTACGGCCTTTTAGTGTTCACTAGAGATGAAAATCTTACATGACGCTGCTGTAAAGTTATTTATAGACATTTATCACCACTCACAGACAATGGTCATCTAGGCCCTATGTGTTTGTTAGAGCTTTACTGACAGACATCCCAGTCAAATAACAATCAATAACTAACTACTGTATGTGTACCTGGGTCTGTTGTGTTCCACGCTGGTTTTATGTGTGTGTGTGCTGCAGAAGATCACAAAATGGGAACAAATAAAAACAAGCGGACATTCAGAGCAGAGGACAGCTTTGGAGACAATGCAACTGTTGTTAGAGGAAGACTCGGCCAAAGAAAGGAGTGTGTGTGGAGGAGGTCTGACAGGTTTGAAGGGACCATGATGGAGGACTTTGCGATTAATGAGAAACATTCAGAAGTTGACAGCCCGGTCTTACCACACCATTGTACTCATTTCATTTCGTGCTAAGGTCTGGAGGTGATTCATTGACTCCGTTAACAGGTGGGAGGGGTTAACTCCTTTTGCAGATTGAAACGATTGGATCTGAGTTTACCGTGACGTGAACCCGAGTGAGTGAGGCATAGCTTTAGCCTTTAGCCTAGCTTTAGCATGTAGCCCGTGGGGAGTAGAGCCACAACATGAATTTGATTTTTCACGTTTTATATTTTTTACACCTGGGAACATGATATCACCTTTTGCTGGAACAGTTTTACGACAGCGTCTGTGTCACAAATCTATAAAACCGTTGGCAGCGTCTGAGAGTAGCAGCAGCTGTAAAGTTATAAATAAACACTAATTGTGCGAATAAAAGTCTTCAGCTAAAGACAGTGATGGAGCCAGGTTTCCACAGAACCGTAAATTCCTCAAACCAGAAATCATGTCCGACCAACGCTTCTGAAAGCTCTGAAAAAAACTGTTGAAATCCACTTTCTGTGCCAATATTTCACTGTCAGCCCAGGTTTAATAATCTAGAATTTTAGCATTTTACTTTGGACCAGAGCAGAGAAAATGCTCCAAACCAAGCGGCTGCTCCACCCAGAGGCTACTCCACCTCTGCTGCTGTGACCCGTCCTGCTCCACCAGAGGCCACTCCACCTCTGCTGCTGTGACCCGTCCTGCTCCACCCAGAGGCTACTGGACACCTGCATTTCTCCTACGGGGATCAATAAAGTATATATCTATCTGGAACGTAGCTTTGGTCCAAGAGCCACTTTTGGACCATCCTGTAAAGATGTTTTTGAGAGGTCAGAAGATGCTATACATTAGCGTTGGCTAATTATTATTCTGTGTCCCCCTTCTGGCCCGGGGCGGTATTGCAAGCAGGTCAGTGCAGGTAATTTTGGATATTTTTGAGCCGAGACCCGCCTCTCCTGGAGTCCACTTACTGCAGCAGCTTCGAGCTGCGAGAGATCGGCAGGTTTTAGAGACGGAACCTCCAGGTGACCGTGCGCGATTAGAGGACTGCTTCTGCCCAATCAGCACCCAGGAACCGGAGTCAATCAACTCCCGCCTGACCAATCGGAGCCCGGGGACTCACGAGCGAGGTCTTGTGAAAAGGGGGGAAGACACAAACACATTGAGACGCCACGATGAAGCTAAAGCACAACTACCAAGTAACAACAACACTTGAGTCTGCAATAACGTGAAAACTTCTCTCTTCTCGTCTCTTTGTCTGTGTGAAAGTTCGGAGCCTGTTAATGGTCCCAAGCTCAGCACGCTCTCAGAACATAATGAGGGTCATTAAATCAATTACAGGCAGTACACTAGGGTAGAGACCCCCCTTTAGACCCCCGCTCCGCAGTGAAAAGACAGTATTCAATTGTTAGAAGGCCTATTGTTGGTGTACTGCGTCAGTCAGGAACCGCTGTGTCGTCTAAAAAGGCTTCAAACAGACATTTTAATTCACGGATCAAACCTGAACTAACGTGCTTTGTCCATTTTCAGTCTTTTATGTTTGTTCAGAATCTCCTAAACCCAAAACCCACCACATTATTGTCAATGGAGAATGGAAATTAGCTGTTGGTGTCTTTACATGTAGTGTGTGTTTGTTAACATTGGTGAAATATTTATCTTTAACCCAATGCAGATGTGGACTTTTATAACTGCTACAAACCGACTGGATAACTTACATACACCAGCTTTAATGCAAGAGAGAAACTAACTCTGCCATTAGGAATCAGTGTCCGGACTCCTTCAACATTTTGACATTATACTGGCTGAATGCTCTGTTGAGGACAGAGAGGAGGAGGGAGAGAGGAGGTGGAGAGAGGAGGAGAGAGGACAGAGAGGAGGAGAGAGAGAGGAGCACAGAGAGGAGGAGGGAGATGGAGAAGAGGACAAAGAGGAAGGAGAGGAGGACAGAGAAGGGGAGAGAGATGGAGAGAGGAGGACCAAGAAGGAGAGAGGAGGACAGAGAGGAGGAGAGAGGAGGACAGAGAGGAGGAGAGAGGAGGAGAGGAGGAGAGAGAGAGGAGCACAGAGAGGAGGAGAGAGATGGAGAAGAGGACAAAGAGGAAAGAGAGGAGGACAGAGAAGGGGAGAGAGATGGAGAGAGAAGCACCAAGGAGGAGAGATGAGGACAGAGAGGAGGAGAGAGGAGGACAGAGAGGAGAGAGGAAGAGAGAGGACGAGAGAGAGGAGGAAAGAAGAGGACAGGGAGGAGGAGAGAGGAGGACATAGAGGTGGAGAGAGGAGGACAGAGAGGAGGAGAGAAAGGAGAGAGGAAGAGAGAGAGGAGGAAAGAAGAGGACAGGGAGGAGGAGAGAGGAGGACATAGAGGTGGAGAGAGGAGGACAGAGAGGAGGAGAGAGAGGAGAGAGGAAGAGAGAGGACGAGAGAGAGGAGGAAAGAGGAGGACAGGGAGGAGGAGAGAGAGGAGGAAATTTAGACTGAAAAACCAAGTGCATCTCTCCCCATCCAGGCCAACCAATCACAGAGCTCTGCCAGCCTCAGGCATCAGCCAATCACACAGCTCTGTCAGCCTCAGGCCTCAGCCAATCACACAGCTCTGCCAGCCTCAGGCCTCAGCCAATCACACAGCTCTGCCAGCCTCAGGCCTCAGCCAATCACACAGCTCTGCCAGCCTCAGGCCTCAGCCAATCACACAGCTCTGCCAGCCTCAGGCCTCAGCCAATCACACAGCTCTGCCATCCTCAGGCCTCAGCCAATCACACAGCCCGGCCAGCCTCCTGCCAACCCTCTGACAGCAAGGCGGCAGTTTAAAAGCAGCAACTTCCTGACAAGCAGCGCTTCCTGACGCTCTTAACACCCACCGCCTCCCCAGCATCTCCTCTGGCTCCTGCTCTGGCTCCTGTTCTGGCTCCTGCTCTGGCTCCTGTTCTGACTCCTGTTCTGGCTCCTGTTCTGGCTCCTGCTCTGGCTCCTGCTCTGGCTCCTGCTCCTGCTCTGGCTCCTGCTCTGGCTCCTGCTCTGGCTCCTGCTCTAGCTCCTGCTCTGACTCCTGTTCTGGCTCCTGTTCTGGCTCCTGCTCTGGCTCCTGCTCCTGCTCTGGCTCCTGCTCTGGCTCCTGCTCTGGCTCCTGCTCTGGCTCCTGCTCTGGCTCCTGCTCTAGCTCCTGCTCTGACTCCTGTTCTGGCTCCTGTTCTGGCTCCTGCTCTAGCTCCTGCTCTGACTCCTGTTCTGGCTCCTGTTCTGGCTCCTGCTCCTGCTCCTGCTCTGGCTCCTGCTCTGGCTCTGGCTCCTGCTCTGGCTCCTGCTCTGGCTCCTGCTCTAGCTCCTGCTCTGACTCCTGTTCTGACTCCTGTTCTGGCTCCTGTTCTGGCTCCTGCTCTGGCTCCTGCTCTGGCTCCTGCTCTGGCTCCTGCTCTGGCTCCTGCTCTGGCTCCTGCTCTGGCTCCTGCTCTAGCTCCTGCTCTGACTCCTGTTCTGGCTCCTGTTCTGGCTCCTGCTCTAGCTCCTGCTCTGACTCCTGTTCTGGCTCCTGTTCTGGCTCCTGCTCTGGCTCCTGCTCCTGCTCAGGCTCCTGCTCTGGCTCCTGCTCCTGCTCTGGCTCCTGCTCTGGCTCCTGCTCTGGCTCCTGCTCTGGCTCCTGCTCTGGCTCCTGCTCTAGCTCCTGCTCTGACTCCTGTTCTGGCTCCTGTTCTGGCTTCTGCTCTAGCTCCTGCTCTGACTCCTGTTCTGGCTCCTGTTCTGGCTCCTGCTCTGGCTCCTGCTCTGGCTCCTGCTCTGGCTCCTGTTCTGGCTCCTGCTCTGGCTCCTGTTCTGACTCCTGTTCTGGCTCCTGTTCTGGCTCCTGCTCTGGCTCCTGCTCTGGCTCCTGCTCTGGCTCCTGCTCTGGCTCCTGCTCTGGCTCCTGCTCTGACTCCTGTTCTGGCTCCTGTTCTGGCTCCTGCTCTGGCTCCTGCTCCTGCTCTGGCTCCTGCTCTGGCTCCTGCTCTGGCTCCTGCTCTGGCTCCTGCTCTAGCTCCTGCTCTGACTCCTGTTCTGGCTCCTGTTCTGGCTCCTGCTCTAGCTCCTGCTCTGACTCCTGTTCTGGCTCCTGTTCTGGCTCCTGCTCTGGCTCCTGCTCTGGCTCCTGCTCTGGCTCCTGCTCTGGCTCCTGCTCTAGCTCCTGCTCTGACTCCTGTTCTGGCTCCTGTTCTGGCTCCTGCTCTAGCTCCTGCTCTGACTCCTGTTCTGGCTCCTGTTCTGGCTCCTGCTCTGGCTCCTGCTCTGGCTCCTGCTCCTGCTCTGGCTCCTGCTCTGGCTCCTGCTCTGGCTCCTGCTCTAGCTCCTGCTCTGACTCCTGTTCTGGCTCCTGTTCTGGCTCCTGCTCTAGCTCCTGCTCTGACTCCTGTTCTGGCTCCTGTTCTGGCTCCTGCTCTGGCTCCTGCTCTGGCTCCTGCTCTGGCTCCTGCTCTGGCTCCTGCTCTGGCTCCTGCTCTGACTCCTGTTCTGGCTCCTGTTCTGGCTCCTGCTCTAGCTCCTGCTCTGACTCCTGTTCTGGCTCCTGTTCTGACTCCTGTTCTGGCTCCTGTTCTGGCTCCTGCTCTGGCTCCTGCTCTGGCTCCTGCTCCTGCTCCTGCTCTGGCTCCTACTCTGGCTCCTGCTCTGGCTCCTGCTCTGGCTCCTGCTCTAGCTCCTGCTCTGACTCCTGTTCTGGCTCCTGTTCTGGCTCCTGCTCTGGCTCCTGCTCCTGCTCTGGCTCCTGCTCTGGCTCCTGCTCCTGCTCTGGCTCCTGCTCTGGCTCCTGCTCTGGCTCCTGCTCTGCCTATGCCCCATTCACACCATACTCTAGCCACCACCAGTGCTTGACCCCGGGGGATCTGAGACCTTCTTCAGCTGCAATCGATCTCATTGCTGCAAGTGTCACTGCCGGGGTCAATGCTCCAAACAAATAAATCATTTTAATATGTTAATTGTGACTTTGGTCTCTTCAGTTTGAAATAAAGTGTTCTGGTTCTATCAAGAAATTGAGGGAGACCAGAAAGAGAGACCAGAAAGAGAGACAGAGAGAGACCAGAGAGAGACCAGAGCGAGACCGGAGAGGGAGACCAGAGAGAGACCAGAGAGAGACCGGAGAGGGAGACCAGAGAGAGACCAGAGAGAGACCAGAGAGAGACCAGAGAGAGACCAGAGAGGGACCAGAGAGGGACCAGAGAGAGACCAGAGCGAGACCGGAGAGGGAGACCAGAGAGAGACCAGAGAGAGACCAGAGAGAGACCGGAGAGGGAGACCAGAGAGAGACCAGAGAGAGACCAGAGAGAGACCAGAGAGGGACCAGAGAGGGACCAAAGAGAGACCAGAGAGAGACCGGAGAGAGCCCAGAGAGGGACCAGAGAGGGACCAGAGAGAGAGACTAGAGAGAGACCGGAGAGGGAGACCATGAGAGAGCAGAGAGAGACCAGTAAGAGACCAGAGAAAGAGACCGCAGAGAGAGCAGAGAGAGAGACCAGAGAGAGACCAGAGAGACCAGAGAGAGAGACATGAGACCAGAGAGAGACCAGAGATCCCAGTGGAGGCAGTCTGCTCCCTGCTCTTCCTCTCAGGTCGGGGCCTCTCTCTGTGATTGACGGCTCTGATTAAAGCGTGTTTACAGTGGACTGAATGTGAGGATCCTGCTCCGTGTCTCCGCCCGAGCTGCACCGACGTCTGCTCCTCTGGTTTTATTACACACTCGTAAAAGTGTGGACCTGGACTGACCCGAGTCTGAGGGTCTGGGCTCTGTCAAGGACCAGCTGGGCCCTCGCTCTCCCAGTCTGAGAAGAAGTGACCACGACGAGTCTGAGAGGACCCCAATCCACTCGTTTTGATGATAATAATAATAGTTTTAGGACAGAGGAGAGAGAGGGTTACGGAGTAGGAGAGAGAGAGGTGGAGAGAGGATAGAGGAGGAGAGAGATGGAGAGAGGAGGACAGAGAGGAGGAGAGATTAGGAGAGAGAGGAGAACAGAGGAGGAGAGATGGAGAGAGGAGGAAAGAGAAGAGGGCAGAGGAGGAGAGAGGAGGGAAGAGAGGCGGGCAGAGAGGATGAGGGAGGAGGGCAGAGAGGATGAGGGAGGAGGACAGAGAGGGGAGGAGAGAGGAGGACAGAGAGGAGGAGAGAGGAGGGCAGAGAGGATGAGAGAGGAGGGCAGAGAGGATGAGAGAGGAAGAGAGAGAGGAGGAGAGAGGAGGATAGAAAGGAGGACAGAGTAGGAGAGAGGGGGAGAGAGGAGGACAGAGTAGGAGAGAGGGGGAGAGAGGAGGACAGAGTAGGAGAGAGGGGGAGAGAGGAGGACAGAGTAGGAGAGAGGGGGAGAGAGGAGGACAGGAGGAGAGAGGAGGACAGGAGGAGAGAGGAGGTTAGAGAGGAGGAGAGAGGAGGAGGGGGGGTTGAAGAGAGGAGGAAAGAGGAGGAGAGAGGAGGACAGAGAGGAGGAGAGAGGAGGGCAGAGAGGATGAGAGAGGAGGGCAGAGAGGATGAGAGAGGAAGAGAGAGAGGAGGAGAGAGGAGGATAGAAAGGAGGACAGAGTAGGAGAGAGGGGGAGAGAGGAGGACAGAGTAGGAGAGAGGGGGAGAGAGGAGGACAGAGTAGGAGAGAGGGGGAGAGAGGAGGACAGAGTAGGAGAGAGGGGGAGAGAGGAGGACAGGAGGAGAGAGGAGGACAGGAGGAGAGAGGAGGTTAGAGAGGAGGAGAGAGGAGGAGGGGGGGTTGAAGAGAGGAGGAAAGAGGAGGAGAGAGGAGGACAGAGAGGAGGAGAGAGGAGGGCAGAGAGGATGAGAGAGGAGGGCAGAGAGGATGAGAGAGGAAGAGAGAGAGGAGGAGAGAGGAGGATAGAAAGGAGGACAGAGTAGGAGAGAGGGGGAGAGAGGAGGACAGAGTAGGAGAGAGGGGGAGAGAGGAGGACAGAGTAGGAGAGAGGGGGAGAGAGGAGGACAGAGTAGGAGAGAGGAGGACAGGAGGAGAGAGGAGGTTAGAGAGGAGGAGAGAGGAGGAGGGGGGGTTGAAGAGAGGAGGAAAGAGGAGGACAGAGGGGGAGAGAGAGGAGAGAGAGCTAGAGAGAGGAGGAAAGAGAGGAGGACAGAGAGGAGGAGAGAGGAGAAGAGATTAGGAGAGAGAGGAGGGCAGACAGAAGGAGAGAGATGGAGAGAGGAGGACAGAGAGAACGTCGCACTCTCGGTCACAAAGATACAACATTAAGTTCAAAAGTTGTGGCAAAAGAAGTCTAACTTTTTGGTTTTGGTTTAAAGGAGAAGTATGTGTCACAGGTTAAAAAGTGTCTGTTGAGGGGGTGTGATCAATAAAACAAGAAGAAGATAAAAAGGGGGTAAAAATTAATAAAATATATACAAAAAGGATCCACAAAAGATGATAAAAAAACCCGCAGTCCACTCGTTTCTCCCCACTGGCCTCCGCTCTTCTCAGTCCCGGGACCGGGCCGCAGTCCCGCCAGCCGCTCGCCGACCACGGGTCGCCACTGGGCACCCGCGGGGGAGAGCCGGCACATCCCGGTCTTTGGGCCTAGCCCGGGCGCGCACGCGCCAATGCGCTATCAATGCGCGCCTCACCGGTGCCGCTCTCCCCGCTGGCCTCAGTGCCCCGTGGTCTCTGGCTGGCGGTGCTCGTCCTTGGCCCGGTCCCGTGTCCTCCTCCTCTGGACTGGCTCTGCCCTCCTCTCTTCCTGTCTCTGTGTCCTGTCGTCCTCCAGTGCCCGCCCCCAATTAAAAGGTCTTGATTAAAACAGCTGCGGGTTAGGGCAAGTGTCCAGGGAACAGTGATTAAAATCCATGCAATAAAAATATAAAAACACACAAAACACATCACACAAATAAAAGCAGTTAAAAGTCCTTGTTAAAAGTTCACTTTCCCACATATGTAAAACAAATCTATCCTGTTTTTATTTTAGGATAGAATGAAAAATGTGCCAAATCTGCTTTATATAAAAAAAACTAAACAAACAGTGTTTAAGACCATCTTCCGGAGATTTGTTATATTTATTTCAGAGGCTAGACGTTGACTCGGGGGTGTTGCGGTCCTGTTGTATTTGATGGATTCTTTTGGCAGTGGCTAATCCGCCTGTCACACATGTTAAAGGGCCACTACTTAAGTATTTTCAATTGTTTATATTCTTGTGCGGAGTCGTCTCAAGAGAGGCCCGAGGTTCCAGGAGACTGGGTTATTAATCACACACACCAGAGAGAGAGCAGAGAGAGAGCAGAGAGAGAGCAGAGAGAGACCAGAGAGAGAGCAGAGAGAGACCAGAGAGAGAGCAGAGAGAGCAGAGAGAGAGCAGAGAGAGAGCAGAGTGAGACCAGAGAGAGAGCAGAGAGAGCAGAGAGAGACCAGAGAGAGCAGAGAGAGAGCAGAGAGAGAGCAGAGAGAGAGCAGAGAGAGACCAGAGAGAGAGCAGAGAGAGACCACCGAGAGAGCAGAGAGAGCAGAGAGAGAGCAGAGAGAGAGCAGAGTGAGACCAGAGAGAGAGCAGAGAGAGCAGAGAGAGACCAGAGAGAGCAGAGAGAGAGCAGAGAGAGAGCAGAGTGAGACCAGAGAGAGAGCAGAGAGAGAGTAGAGAGAGAGCAGAGTGAGACCAGAGAGAGAGCAGAGAGACTAGAGAGATACCAGAAAGAGAAACCAGAGAGAGACCAGAGAGAGACCAGAGAGAGAGACCAGAGAGAGAGACCAGAGAGAGACTAGAGAGATACCATAAAGAAAGACCAGAGAGAGACCAGAGAGAGACCAGAGAGAGACCAGAGAGAGACCAGAGACCAAAGGGAGACAGAGAGAGACCAGAGAGAGACCAGACAGAGACCAGAGAGAGAGACCAGACAGAGACCAGAGAGAGAGAGACCAGAGAGAGACCAGAGAGAGACCAGAGAGAGACCAGAGAGAGAGACAGATAGAGAGACAGAGAGAGACCAGAGAGAGACCAGAGAGAGACCAGACAGAGACCAGAGAGAGACCAGAGAGAGACAGACAGAGACCAGAGAGAGACCAGAGAGAGACCAGAGACAGAGACTAGAGAGAGACCAGAGAGATACCAGAGAGAGACAGAGAGAGAGACCAGAGAGAGACCAGGGAGAGAGACAGAGAGAGACCAGAGAGAGACCAGAGAGAGACAGAGAGAGAGACCAGAGAGAGACCAGGGAGAGAGACAGAGAGAGACCAGAGAGAGACCAGGGAGAGAGACAGAGAGAGACCAGAGAGAGACCAGAGAGAGACAGAGAGAGAGACCAGAGAGAGACCAGGGAGAGAGACAGAGAGAGACCAGAGAGAGACCAGGGAGAGAGACAGAGAGAGACCAGAGAGAGACCAGAGAGAGACCAGAGAGAGACCAGAGAGAGACCAGAGAGAGACAGAGAGAGACCAGAGAGAGACTAGAGAGAGACCAGAGAGAGACCAGAGAGAGACCAGAGAGAGACCAGAGAGAGACCAGAGAGAGACAGAGAGAGAGACCAGAGAGAGGGGAATATTCTACAGTATATTATTGTAATAAAACGCTGAGAGGTTTGACTAATGTCTTGCTCACTTGTGTAAACGTTCGTATTATTGCAGTGAACCAAAAAACACCATAATTACACACCATGTGTTTCTTTGACATATGGTTTTACAGAATCAAAATCTACTATTCTTCTATGTTCCCACTGGAAATACTTAATAATATATATAACACAAATTTTATGATTTATTTATTTATTAATACATCCACAAGAGTCCCCAGTCTGAACAAGTACATGGATAAAACAAGGTAAAGGTACAGAAAAAAAAGCTGTTTGCAAACCCAGATGTCTTGCATCTTAGTGATTCTGCCAGAGGGAAGAAGCTGGAACATGGCTTTTCCAGGAGCCCGAAGAGTCACTGATTATTCAAAGAGTTCGGTTTAAAAATCTGTATTCATAAAGAACCTCCAGAACAGACAGATCATTGTCCTGTCTCAGAGCGGAGAACCTCTCTCTGGTCTCTCGTTCTGGTCTGTCTATGGTCTCTCTCTGGTCTCTCCTTGGTTTCTCTACTCTCTCGCTCTGGTCTCTCTCTGGTCTCTCTCTCTGGTCTCTCTCTGGTCTCTCTCTGGTCTCTCTCTCTGGTCTCTCTCTCTGGTCTCGCTCTGGTCTCTCTCTGCTCTCTCTGTTCTCTCTCTGGTCTCTCTCTCTGGTCTCTCTCTGGTCTCTCTCTGGTCTCTCTCTGGTCTCTCTCTGCTCTCTCTGGTCTCTCGCTGGTCTCTCTCTCTGGTATCTCTTTTATCTCTCTCTGGTCTCTCTCTGGCCTCTCTCTCTGGTCTCTCTCTGGTCTCTCTCTCTGGCCTCTCTCTCTGGCCTCTCTCTCTGGTCTCTCTCTGGTCTCTCTCTAGTCTCTCTTTGGTCTCTCCCAGGCCTCTCTCTGATCTCTCTGGTCTCTCTCTCCCTTCTTTCTGATCTGTCTCTCTCTCTCTCTCTGCTCTCTCTGGTCTCTCTCTGGTCCCTCTCTCTGCTCTTTCTGATCCCTCTCTCCTCTCTCCCTGCTCTCTTCCTGATCCCTCTCAGAAAGTGCAACAAGTCCAAACAGAACCTTTTCTCCCGTTCTCTCTGACACCAATTTGTCCGAGCAGCTCCTTGTCCATCTGTAATTTTCGGCCGATGTTGGAAAAGGACGTTCAATCTTCGGCCACAGCAAAAAGCACAAAGCTTTCACTTTGCCGTAGTCGCATCAGGACCATAAAGAGCCCTCGCTGTGGGTCGATCCAGTTCGATCCAGTCCTTCACTCTCTTTGATTCCCTTTTTGTGGCCATCATTTGATCAGAACACACTGGCGGTGGGTCTTTGTTTCCATGACGACCGGATTCACCCTGATTGAGCAGCTGATGTTTGCAGAGCCCTTCTCCACACAGGGGAACAGGAGGAGAGGCGACCAGAAGGAGAAGAGGAGGAGACCAGAAGGAGAATAGGAGGGCCCTTTAGTGATGACAGATTAGGGCCCTTTAATGACAACAGATTAGGGCCCTTTGATGACGACAGATTAGGGCCCTTTGATGACGACAGATTAGGGCCCTTTTATGACGACTTGCTCCTATAAGCATTACAGGGATGAGTACCTTTAAAGACATGAACAGAAGATTTTGTAACTTCAATCTGAAACAGGAGCAGAATTTGAATTTGAACAAAAGTGCACTTACACCAAGCATCCTTTAGATGGCGCCATTAAACAGGTGGCATTCAAAATACTGGGAAACTTTTTTTAGTTGCTCCTTTTTTTTTTTTTATCAATACTATGTAGATGAAAGAATACTATGTAAAGAATACTACTATGTTTATGTAGTATTCTTCCTATTACCACTACTTTATTCTGTACTCCACAGGAAGCCAGTGATTTTAACATTTAAACACTGGAGTTATGTGCTTCTCTGTACATGAAAGAATACTCTGTACATGAAAGAATACTCTCTACATGAAAGAATACTCTGTACATGAAAGAATACTCTCTACATGAAAGAATACTCTGTACATGAAAGAAAACTCTCTACATGAAAGAATACGCTGTACATGAAAGAATACTCTGTACATGAAAGAATACTCTGTACATGAAAGAATACTCTGTACATGAAAGAATACTCTGTACATTAAAAAATACTCTGTACATTAAAGAAAACCCCAGAATTCCCTTCAGTGAATCTACATCATGGATCTAAAAAGGATCATGGCCTTTTGTAAACATGAACTTCCATAATAACCCGAATCCAAGTCAGTGTTCAACAGGACAGTAATAAGTGAGAGAATTAACCCTACGGGTCCAGAACACTTTCTATACAGTGACTTGCTCATGTGTTCCCCTGAATGTTTCCCACACTTTGTTTATTTATATCTGCTAATCATTTTAGTAGGATTAATACTTCTTAATTTGTTCCAGTGTTCCTCTTTTTGTCTGTTTCACATCCAATTTTGGAAAAATGTAAGTATTTTCCCACTACTTTTGGCCTCACAAACATCTCACTTCGATTTTTGGATGTAAATTTCCTCAAATTTCAACAAATTTTAGGAAAGATCCGCCCTCCTCAGCGGTAGCGCTTGTTAAAACGTGTCTCGCAGATCAGCAGAATGATTGACGACTGGAGGACCAATAGTTTACATGATCCACCCAGAAGAAGAAAATCCTCCCATTTTCCTTTAATAAAAATCCCAATTAACACCCCTTGTGAGGCATAGAGTCAAGAAAATTTGCCTATTTTTAAGGAGCTGTTGACAAAACGCTCCACAGCAGATGCTCAATGGCAAATAAAAACACCTCTACTGACCCCTGGTGGCAAGTCATGCAAATAGAGTAATTAGCATTTAACCTGAACACACACAAATGCGACAGAAAAACAACTTAAAGGTCCATGTTTTCAGAGTAAAGTAGAATTATATGTGT